AGAAAACATTATTATAAGCTAACCGTTGTGAATCGGGCTAAAGTAAGGCGATAGTTTTGAACACTGGCTGGTTATGTACTTGCTCAAATATTGATTTTGGATCATTTTTAACCAAAAAAAGTTACGGACTGCAGCTTTAAGTAAAAATCTGTCTTTACAACTTTTATTAGTAATGGAGTAATATTTGACCAGCAGTATCTGTACTTTCACTTAAGTAATGGAGTTGTGTACTTTGTCTGCCTCTGCTTATTACATGCTACAAATGTATATTTAAAAAAATAAATAAATATAGACCTTTACGAATTACTGTTTACGACCACTTTATCGGATTCTTTAAAACAACCAAATATTTAATTCAGAAATGCCTTTAGAAAATAATAATAATAAAAAAATAATAATAATCGCACCATTAGAATTAAACAGTTCAATATAATATGTAATATAGGTCTACTTAAACATTCAAAAACTCCCTCCCCAGGCTATGACCATTTATGGAAACTAGGCAGCAAAAATGGGCCAATCAGAAACCACCGCACTATTGACATCACAACCATAAGCTCATTTACATACAAAAGCGGTTGGGGCGATTTTTTTAGGCTTTTAATGTTTTTGAAAGGCTCTTCTGATCACTTAGGCTGCATTTAGTTGATCAAAAATACATTAAACAGAAATATTGTGAAATATGCTTACAATTTAAAATAACTTTTCTATTTGAATACATGTTAAAATGTGATTTATTGCTGTGATCAAAGCTGAAATTACAGCATCATTACTCCAGTCTTCAGTGTCACATGATCCTTCAGAAATCATTCTAATATGCTGATTTGCTGCTCAAGAAACATGTATTACTATCGATATTTTTGTGGAAACTGTTATTTTTTTTCAGGATTCTTTGATGAATAGAAAATTCAAAAGAACAGCATTTATTTGAAATAGAAATCTTTTGTAACATTACACATTTTTACTATCACTTTTGATCAATTAAATGCATAGCCTATTTGCTTAATAAAAGTATTGATTTCTTAAAAAAAAAATCTGACCCAAAAGAGCCTATTTAATTCTATTAGTCAGTTAATGCAAGGTCAGAAAAACTAAATTATGACTGGATTTGGTGCAAGATTTCAACTTCATAAAATGGAATAATAAAATGCTACATGATGTGACCTCTTTAGGAATCATATCACATGTCACATGTGTTTGTGTGCAGGTGGTGAGGTCTCTAAAGCAAAGTTTACGCAGTATTTCAGAGGTAGTTTGTCTGGACTGATGATACGACCAGGAAAGATCGAAAACAAGAAGATCATCTCCTGCCTACAGGCCTGCAAAGAAGGATTGGACATCACCTCACTGGAGAGCCTCGGACAGAGGATAAAGGTTACACACATTCACGGCTAACTTTAGAAAACACTGTACAAACTCTTAATTACAAATCTGAATGAATGAGCTATCCTTGAAGCCAACATGCAATGCTCAACTATAGCTCAACTAGTTCAAGTTCACAGATTTGATTGCACATTCTGGTAAATTTTATACTGTAAGTCACATTGCATTCGTTCTGAAAAGGAGTTTGCCGTGAATAAAACCATTGAAAAGAGATGAAACTGACTATTTTGTTTAAAAAGAATGAGGAAAAGGTGAAGAAAAGCCAGGAGACGAGACTTGAGGAGAGATATTTCTGTACGCACATTTTCCATTTTCTGCTTTGCTTTCCTCTGTTCTGTTCTATTGTATTCGAGAAGCTCTAAGGAAGATTTGAGGATCAAATGAAAGCAGGTTTTACAGACAGAGAGTCAGAGTGTTAGTGAGAGACAGAAGGTGGTCTGATCGCTCATAAGCTCAAAGCAGGATTGTGCTTCATTCAGAACCAAACTCATAATGCCTTTTAAATAACAGTTCCGTTCTTGCTGTGATGCAACATGCAGAATTTGAATTTAAATTAGAATTAAGAAAATTAATTCATATAGCTGCTGTAAGTGTAGTTTATCATAAAAATTTCAGCATAAATTACCTAAAAACACCTGTTAACATACACAAAACAGTATATTAATATTTAATTTCTGAAATGCCACAGGTATCTGAACAATAATAAAATAATTCAAAACACAGCAATTTGCAAATTCATTTGACCAATTCATTGACAAAAACTGACTCTAAAGAATAATAGCATATTTACACTACACAACAACAATCACTGAAATATTTTAGAGCAAAACTACACTTTAAAAGGCGGTTGTGGTAGCCAGAATTCTGCAAAAATACAGTAAAAATGTATACACATTTGAAGAGCAACCTTATTTAAATTTAATACATTTAATAATAATTGACTGATAAACAATAAGTTATATACATTTAATAATAAATAATAAAAGATAATAAATGGTTTCAGTCATTTACAGTTAAAATTACAATAATGTTTTACAGTATATAGCAAAACATGACTACACTATAAAAAATATTTTTCGAAGTTGCTTTCTGCTTAGAATTTTCATTTAATTCAATGTTACTTGCACGTTTTTTGTCATTCTGAAATTTTCTATCACTTTCTAGGTGAAATTTGTTTCTACACCAATATTTTTCAGTGTAGAAATAAAATTCAAAATTGAAAAATATGCATTATTAACCTTATTTTTTAAGTAATTGTTACAATTCCTGTGTTGAATTTCCTCTTCCTGTCATTCATATTCAAATTTCAATTCAGATTCACAGACATTTCTTCATTTCTGAATTTTGCACATCTCGGCCTCAAACGCTCACTCTCATAGACACTTTGATAGTATAATATCTCATGGTTTTCTGTCTCAGTTTCATCTGAATCCCGCTCAGTCTCTGGTGGTGATGGAGGGAGAGGATCTGGAGCAGATGAACGCCGCACTGAGAAAAGTTTCTTACATCAACTCTCTGCAGTTTCCCACCAAGGGAGCGCGTCACCTCCGGATCTCAACAGCAGTGCAGTAAGATTATAAATATTCATGAGATCCCATTTCTGAACTACTATACTAGAATTTTAGCTCTGGAATATGGCAATACGAATGATCAAACCATTTATATCTGGTTGCACAGTTCTGATATGCATCCCAGAATTTTTAACTGTGCTTTGACTCTGGCTGGAAAAGTTATTAAAACTGTATCCTACAGCATGTAAAAAAATATTGAAGTATGGTTTACAAGAAAATACAATTTTAGTCTTTCTAGTTTAAAATTTGACATTTAAGTCAATGTGTTACTTGGCATTTCTTACATTTAAAGGTGCTGTATGTAATTTTTGACTGTACTAAAGCATAAAAATACCATATTTTTATGCTTTAGTACAGTCAAAAAATTACATACAGCACCTTTAAATGTAAGAAATGCCAAAAACATGTTAGGAAACATGTTAAGTTTACATACTTGTTTCTTCGAAAAACAATGCTAAATGTATTCTACTTTGAAATGAGTGTTCCGTGTCGGAATGTCTGTTTTTCATTTGGTCTGTGTGATTCCACCCACTGCCAATTTACCCAATAGTATTTTGACACCCCAGGTTGCCAGTTGGTGGAAAACACAGCGTATTGCAGCCATGGAAGCCAGCAAATGAAATGGATCAGATATCGCAGATTCTACCTGACCTAAAAAGCCTCAGCATCCATGTAAAGAGCTCTATGACCAGGGGAATATTAAAACACGGACAAAATCAACTCATCAACTTACAGTGTGAAGCTCGTCGCCTTCCAGTGTCCTCAATCTGGCAACCTTTTTCCACTATAAAGAACATTGGAAAGGTTCCATTGATATTAAAAGTTCTTCATGGAACCATATGCCAACAAGAACCTTTATTGAGTGTATTTGTAACTAGATTTGTATATTTTCTGCTAGCTAGCTGCTGGCTATTTCAAATCCCTAATCATACTATAAGCAATCCTAACCCTTCTTGTAACCTTTACTCTTATTCTGTTCTTATCTAATTCATATTCCACGCTTAGCGAGGTTTCATTTTTATGTACAGACCGGGAAATGGAAAGAGAATAACAGAGAGATTTGAATTTTTTTTGGAACAGAAACGCACCCACTGGCGCCCCATGATTATTCAAAGCAGATCATGAATATGCATAAGCCCCTAGAGGATTATGACCCACCCCTCTAAGGCTTCAGCACAGCCAGTGGGCGGAGTTCCTTCAGCAAGAGCAACAGGGAATTAGCATGAAAATAACACACTAAAACACACATAATCAAGAGCAATTAAGTATTATATTACGGTAAGACATGTAATTGAACTCTAGCTTCTCTCATTCTTAAAACTTCCTAATCACAGATTATATTAAGCACAAATGTGTTGTGTTTTGCATAATTATCTAAATCTAAATATTGAGATTTACTCACTTACTAATATCATTCATTTATTGAACTTATTAAATGGTTTTTCAATAGGGGATTTCCTTTAAAATAAATAAATACATTTTAAAAATATCACAAAAAAATATTATTGCAAAACAGTACAATAAACTCCAATATTTAAATAAAAAAAGGATTTATTTTGAGACTTAACAGTACTATTAAATTCATATTTTTGTGAAAGTTTAATTTTAGGTGAATAATATATTAGCAAAAAAAGGCATATAAATGTAAAACTAGGAGAAAATCATCATGCGAAATTAAATATTCAATACTGAACAATAAAGTTTACACTTGGCTCCTTCAATGCCATGTTGGAATATGTTCACGTGTTTAAACAGATGTGAGGCAAACGTCCAGGTTTAGTGAATGGCAGAATGCCTCATCCTTCACTATCCACTGCCATTCGAACGCATGAATTTCATCATGGAAAATCCAAGCATATGTTCAACACACGTCACCCTGAGAAACAATTAACATCCAAACATAGGGCTAAAGATGTCAAATAGCATGCATCGTTTGGTCATCAGTCAATCGTCACAGATTGTAAAAGAATAAGTAAAATCATATTTTAGTTTAAACCAACTGTATCTTGTAGCAAACAGCAGTTTTCACAACGAAACATGAATTAATCTCTTCAAGCCTCACCGTATCTAAACCTTCAGTCACAGATGGTTTCCTCCATTCATTTCCTGTCTGTTGATGAATGTGAGTTTTTGTTTGCGTCAAGATTAACAACATCTTTAATTAGAGAAGGCGGATCTGTGTTCATTTGTGGATAATGGACTTCCTACTTCCTGTCGTTCAGAGCTGCTTCACGGTGGTGAAATCACTCGAGTTCTAAATTAATTCTAGTAAACACCATTTGTGTTTTGCTTTTAAGCTTATTAAGTCCAATTACTGTGAGATTCAAGAAAGCTGAAGTGTTATTAATTCACTGCAGGCATAGTTTTTCTCTTTGTGTGAAGTTATCAGCGCTGCAGTCTCCGTAATGAGTTGGGAACAGCTCCAAGTCATTTGTTTACACTCTGCACATCACTGTCAAACGCTTCTTATTATTTATATCCAAGTGGAGATGTCTTCACCTCTGAGGGAGTGTTTGCAGGACCCAAAATTAACTTCATGCCCAACCTGCCAATGACAAGTGAACTGAGACAATTTACCAGCTCTAAATATCAGGGTTATTATAGTTAAAGGCTGCGATCCGCCGTAAAGCAAGAAGAAGAAGAAGACGCATCATGCACTGGCTGAAGAAGAAGCCACAGGGTTTAATTTGGTTTTGTTTGTGTATGTTTTTTTGACTCTCAAAGCCGTGATTCCCATCCACTTCCATTATATGACTGACAGACTGCAACGGTTTGAGTTAAAAATCTTTGTTTGTGTTCTACTGAAGAAACAAAGTCACCTACATCTTGGATGCCCTCGGGGTAAGCAGATAAACATCACATTTTCATTTTTGGGTGAACTATCCCTTTAACTATAACAAAAGCAAAAACCATAGAACAATTTGTTACTTGAAATAAAATAAACTTTAACTTAAATAAAATATAAAATAAACGTTATGTATTTTGCCAATTAAGGCAATATTTCTCGTTTTCATTAAGTTTATCTTGATGTACTAAAATAACCAAACCTAAAAAAAAATTTTAACTATATATTTTAAAATAAATAAATAAAGATGACACACAACAAAATCGGTAAAACTTTAGGATTAAAATAAAAATAGAAAATATAAGAACAAAAAATAGAATAAAAATATTAATATTCAAAATATCAATAAAAACTATAATAGTATCTCAATGAGACTAAAATAACCCTGCTAAATATTTCTTATATGTGATGGAAAATGAACTTTTGCCAGTTTCAACTGAACTGATTAAAGATCATGTTCCATGAAGATATGTTGTAAATTTCCTACTGTTTTTAATTTTTGATTAGTAATATGCATTGCTAAGAACTTCATTTGGACAACTTTAAAGGCGATTTTCTCAGTATTTTGATTTTTTTTTGCACCCTCACATTCCAGATTTCAAATAGTTGTATCTCTCTATTTGTATCTCAAATATTGTCCTATCCTAACAAACCATACATCAATGGAAAGCTTATTTATTCATAAGCTTAAATATAAAAAGTTCCTAATAAAGCCACTGGCAATATGGCAATTGCATTTGGTGCTTACTTTTGGACCCTGGATGTGTGTGTTTGTGTGTGTCTATATCTAAAATAACACACACAAAAGAGAAAGAATGTGTTGCTGTGTTTGTGATCTCTGCAGGTGTTTCGGGGAGGATGTGTGTATTTCTGTCCCTGATATTGAGGCGGTTGTCATGGTAATGCAGCCTAGTGAACCACGCATCACAATCACTGGGGCGGAGCACCTGACCGTCCCCGCCTCTGACCTTGCCCTCGGCCTATCCCTGTTCAGAGATTTGCATATCATCAGCACAGTAACAAAAAGCGACGGACAGACAAACACAGGTAGAACCATTTCTAGAATCACCTTTCTTCTCTTAATGGGTAATTTGTTCAAAATGATTATTTACTCACCTTCATATCATTCTAACTTAAAAATTTAAGTTATATATTGTAGTGCTTTTTCAAACCTGTTTTGACCCACCATATTGAATATACAGGAATGAGATCTAAGAGGGAACATTTTCAGCAAATTTTCAGAAAATAGTGCACAAGTTGTGTTTTTACGAGTGCTTTATTATCATTTTTTGGAGCTTGACAGGATCTATTCTATACCAAAGAGTGGAAAGCATCCTGCTCCACTTTACCTTCTGTGTTGAACAAAAGAAAAGTCAGTCATTGAGTAAATAATCTAAATAAATAAGATCTTTTTGGGTGAACTATTTCTGCAACAAAAACACTACTAATGAAAACAACCCACAAAGGAAGTCCCCAAACGCAGCACAGAGCACATTATTCACTGACAGAGCGCAGGTGTCATGCTGTTTTGGTGGGAAACAACAGTAAATGCAAAAAAACATGTTAATAAATCATAAAAGACAGATGCTCACTGCACCCTCCACCCTCACAACACATGAGGATGCTTTTCTGAATCTGAAACGCCTCTCCCTCCATTATTCTGAGGGCTTATTTGTTTACTTTAAATGAGACAAATCATAGAAAACTACACTTTCCTTGCTCTTTCTAATTAAAGTTTCAGTCACTATGTAGATATTCATTAGCATTCAAAACTTTGGGCTCAATAGGATTTTTTTTTTAAAGAAATTAATACCTAAATTCAGCAAAGATGCAATAAATTGATCAAAAGTGTAAGTAAAGACATATAAAACTAAATATGAATATTTCTAATAAATGCCGTTGTATTGAATTTTCTATTCATCAAAGTATCCTGAAAAAAAATGTATCACAGTTTCCACAAAAATATGAAACAGCACAACTGTTTTCAACATTGATAATTATCAGAAATGTTTCTTGAGCAGCAAATCAGCATATTAGAATGATTTCTGAAGGATCGTGTGACACTGAAGACTGGAGTAATGATGCTGAAAATTCAGCTTTACATCACAGGAATAAATTACACTTCAAAATATATTTAGAGTTATTTTAAATTGTAATAATATTTTATAATTAATAACATTTAATAATAAGATTTATTATTGTTTTTACTGTATTTTTTATGCGTTCTTTCAAACACATAAAAAAAACATTTTAAAAATAATTAATTTAAAAAATCTTACTGACCCCAAACCTTTGAACAGTAGTATAAATTTATAAAAATTAAACTTCAACTAGTCCCACTGTATATGAACTCCTCTGGTACATGATCAGAATAGAGGTCATTTGCATATAAAAACCTAAGTCATATATTAAATATTATAAAAGTGTTGAATATGCGTAATTTAAAAGGAGACTTAAAAAAAGTTATTTGCCCCTCCAAAAAAAAGCATCATAAAAGTAGTCCAGACAGCTCATGGACTGTCATGAATATTACATTGCATATATTTCATGAATATTATATTTCTGAAAACTGTGGGAATTATAACAGAGAAAGAAAGATTTCTTTTTTATTATTATTATTCATTAAAATTTGTTTCGTCTTTGTATGTGTGCAGATCACAGGTCAGGTGCATTTAAGGAAATCACACATAATCTGGACTACTGTGACATCATGGTGTTGGGGGAGGAGTTAAGGGCGGGGCTAGAGAGTCTGGAACTGCACCACAGTGCCTTATTGGGCAAACACCTGGAATACGCCAACTCCAGCACTGGCATGTCCATATATGGTAAAAACAAACTCTGCAACTTACTTTAGTCTTTCCCAAACACAATTTCCTCACCTCTTTCATCTTCTACATCTGTTTTAGGTGTGGACTCCATCTCTCACTACACAGAGGTGATCGGACAGGTGCGTTATCAGAGCCGTCAGGCTGTCGATTCTGTCCGCACCTTCAGACTCACCTGTTCTGAGCTCAGCGGACGTTACACCAGCGATCAGTATACATTACAGGTGAGAACCAAACAAAGAAATGCATTAAGCCACGGCTCTGATCTATGTCCTAAAAATGCTCTCTATCACTCTTTCTCCAAGGTCAACATCCTTCACAGCGAGGAAGCTATTGAACATGTCAATCATGCGATTGCTCCGCCCAAATACATGCAAATTATTCATCCTACAGTCATAGAATCTAACAGCTACAGCATAGGTGAGTGAAAGTCAAAATAATTGTGTCGGACTTAATTAAGTGTGTCTGTGATTATGTTAATTTTGATATGACAAGGTAAACATTAGCTGAGGTGATACCAAATATGAAATACTCTCAGTTAAAAGATTGGGGTTGGCAAGAATTTTGGAAGAAGTCGCTTCTGCTAACCAAGGCTCCATTTATTTGATTAAAAATACAGTAAAAACAGTAATATTGTGAAATGTTATTACAATTAAAAATAACTGTTTTCTATTTTAATATATTGTAAGATTAAGAGTAAGATTAAGATCATTACTCCAGTTTTCAGTGTCACATGATCCATCAGAAATCATTCTAATATACTGATTTGATGCTCATGTATATTTCTGATTATTATCAGTGTTGGAAACAGTCGTGCTGCTTCATATGTTTGTGGAAACTGATACATTTTTTTGGATTCTTTGATGAACAGAAAGTTCAAAAGAAACCGCATTTATTTTACATTTAAATCTTTTGTAACATTCTAAATGGTTTACTGTCATTTTCAATCCATTTAATGCATCATTGCAGAATAAATTAATTTCTTTCAAAAAACAATCATACTAACCCCATTTTATAAAGGAAGAAGAATTAACAATGAACAATAATAAATCTATAAATTAAATGCTGTTAATAAAAAGTGTACTGTTTATTATTAGTTCATGATACCTAATGCATTAACTAAAGTTAACGTTAACGAAATGTCATTCAGACAATATTTTCAATATATCATTCCATTTAAGGTTGGGAAACAAAAAGTCTGATTCCTGAAAAATATATATTTTTAAAAGACTCAGACTTAAAACCAGGTTATGAATCACTTACTGAATCAGTTGGAACAGTTGTTGACTTACTCAGTTAACCACTAGTTATTACTTTCATGAACTCAAATGAACCAAGAACTGTAACTACTGAATGTTCTTAAAGATTCACACCGAATATAGCTGTCAAGTGAGTTTGATTCAGTGTGGCTTCCTTAAAAGTACCAAAAGAATCATACATGCAATCACTAAGGAATCAACTGACAAAAAAAACTATACAAAATATGGCAATTATTTACTACAGCATACTAAACAGATGGGACTGTCATCCTCACAGCTTCTTGTCAAATTATGACATCTATTCTAAAGTCTATAGCGTGTAAGATTTATTGTTTTTCTCCAGTCGTACCTGCCGTTGCTACTGCAGTCATTGTGCTGTGTATCGCCGCCCTGCTGGTGGTGCTGCTGAGTGTTTACCTCTTCAACCAACCACAAAACCAAGAGCACATTCACACGCACACGCTGCCAGAGAAACAAGCGGACTGTGACGGATCCTCTCTCTCCATCACTGTCAACCCTCTGGAGGTACGACAAACCGTCTACATGCTCAAGCAACACAAGACACCATAATGTAAAGAAGCTGCCAAAATGTTGACGCCTGTCAAACTGTCACAGCATGCACGAGTCTCTGTGAAAACGAAAACCTTTCTTTATAGCTGACAGGACAGTACAGCAGTTGCACAATCAGCTAGAGCTGAACATCTGATTTAAACACTGTCGTTTACAGGGGCGTAAATTTCGTCTAACAGTTGGGGGGGACAATAAACATAAAATTTCTCAAGAGCAATTTTTGAAGGGGACACAAATAATCCAGCTAAAATTGTACTTGTAAGGATATGTATGCACAGAGGAAAGCCTTACTACTATTAGAGTAGCAGGGAGACCGTGCCAAATTAGACAACTCCAAGCTGTTGTGGTCGCGCCGCGACAGCGCTCGTGTCCGTTGTGGACATTACTATCTGTCACAGTGTTGCCAAGTCCCCGGTTTTCCTGTGGAATTGGGCTACTTTATCACTGTTGCCACGGGTTGTTTTTCATGTCCGCGGGTTGAAGCGACCCCAATAACGTGTATTTTTGCCCCCGGAACACGATTTTTACCGGGGGACCCCCCTCGAAAAGCGGTTAGTTTGGGCTAGTTTTGAGTAGCAATTGGGTCTGGATTTGTTGTAAAAACCTGGCAACCCTTTTCGTCAAGCAGGTAATGTTATTATTGCTAACATAGCGGACTCATCGGAAAATACATTGGCATCATGTATTAAAGAGAAAATAATCACTTCATCCGATGTTTAAGTGAATAAAATAGCCTTGACAGCCTTGGAGTTCCACAACTATTGACTTTGTTCTCTCTCACTGGACTTGTGTGTGTGTAGGTGATGTAAAAGAGGAAAGCAGGCATTTGGACCAAAGCACTGTGAGGCAAGGGAGGGGGAGACTCAAATGTTTCTAAACATAAAACGCATTTTTGCCCCGTTTGTGTTGTTTTACTACTTACACAATTATTTAAAGTATAAAACATTGTTATTTACAATACACAGCGTGGTTTTTAATCATAATTTTAGGGGGGACAACCCTCAGATGGGGGGGTCCTGTCCCCGTCCCCCCTGGGATTTCCGCCTATGGTCGTTTATAAGAAATGAAAGCACCAAAATTATATGAGAGATCATTGGCCTAGTATTTTGCCATTAATTTGGACACCTTCCTCAATCAATATCTCTGTTGATCCTTGAGATTTGAATCAGATTTGAAGGTTAGTGCACAACAACATTCTAACCAGCCTATTCTTTCCCTCTCTGGTTTTATAGGTAGTTAATGGTTTAGAATTGGGTTTAGAACCAGGACTGTTATTGTTTAGAGGCATTGTTTTTTTAGTTAAAAAAAAAAAAAAAACTAGAATCACCACTATGGAGATAGAATTGTTGCTTAATTCCAAATAAATAGATTACGATCCACAAATAAATGTAAAGAGATTAACAGAAATTAAACACATTGACAAATAAATAGAATGAGATCCACAAATAAATCTTAAAGTTTTACAAACATGAATTAAATTCACAAATAAATAAAATGAGATTTGCAAATAAAAAAACATATTCACAAATATATATTTATGTCACAACCACAACTTTGCCTGGCATTTATTTGTGAATCGCGTCCTGTGCATTTGTGAATTGTGAAACATTTCTTGCGTCAAGGCGTGCTGCTGACAATCCACAAATACGTGGACTCCACCCACCGTCTACTCAAGCCAATCAGATAACAGCCACATTTCGCTAATCAATAGTAGCACGATCTCGCTATAGCCAATCACGTTTTGCTTTACAATCAGGGTGGTCTCATCCTGAGATAACTTCATTCATCTGCATTGGCTCAAATATGTAGGTATATAAAATGGGTACAGTAAAAGATGTTTAAAATTGGATTTCGTTAGACCATTAGACTGTGTATCATGCCAACCAAGCCATAGTATTATATTTTACGTGCCTTTGAAAATGCCAGAGAAACAGAGCTACAGGAAGCAGCGGTAGGATAAGATAAATTGAAGCACAAGATGTTCACTTATTAGGATCAGAGCTTCAGAACTTCTTGTGATGCCATATAAAGAGCTTATAAAAAATAACTTATAAAAGCTTCTGTATGTGGTTGTTTAAAATGTAATATAAATATAATAAATATAAATGTGTGTGTGTGTGTGTATATATATATATATATATATATATATATATATACAAAAATCTTGGTTACAATGAGGCATTTACGTTGGAAGTGATTAGTACCAATCCGTAAACGTTAAAATACACAGATTCAATAATATGGCCACAAAGCTTAAACGATTTGTGTGTTAAAGGGATAGTCCACCCATAAATAAAAATTTTGCCATCATTTACTCACCCTCAAATTGTTCCAAACCTGTATGCCTTCTTTCTCTGGAACACAAAAGAAGATGATTTGAAGAGCGAAAGTCAAAAATGAAACAACATTAGGGTGAGTAAATGATGACAGAATTTTCATTTTGGGATGAACTATGCCTTTAACAATTTTTTTAAGTGTGTAATGCTATATCCAATTGTCAACATTGTTGTGACAACAGAACTCCATAAACCCTAAAATAACTTGAGAAATGATGATTTAAACAGCTTGACATCTCGAATACTGCATGTTTTAATAGAATTTTAAATGTGTTTTTCTAAAATGAAAACCTTTAAATCCCCACTAAAATTGGCCCCACTAAGCGCCTCACTGTAGCCTTGATTTGTGCTTTTTAAAGAAAAGGAGGAATGAGATGTAATTGATTTTAATTGTTAATTTTCACATTCCTGTCACTTCAAAAACCTGTATGACTTACTTTCTTCCTGAATGTTCACAATTGCAGTGAATTTCCTTGTAAATAACTATAGATTATGAGTCCTCATCAGCACAAAATCCTGTGAAAAAATATGAAAACACTGTGACAAAGCAGAATTATAATCAACCAAATTAATATTGATTATTACAGATGAGCAAGATGTTCAATAGCCAAATTTGAAGCATGTTCACATTCCTCTTTTCCTTACAATGAAAGTGGATGGAGACCGGGGCTTTCAAGCTCAAAAAAAAGGTAGTCCATATCATTCACTATATTCACTTAAAGGGGTCATATGATGCTATTTTAAAGATCATTATTTTGTGTATTTGGTGTAACAGAATATGTTGACATGCTTTAATGTTCAAAAAACACCTTATTTTTCAAATACTGTACATTATTGTAGGTCCTCTATGCCCCGCCTCTCTCAAACGCTTCGTTTTCTACAAA